AGCCCCCGAAGCCGCCGCCGCAGTCTCCTCCGGCAGCGCTCTTCGCGGCGAAGGTGATGGACCGAAAGGAGCTGGCCGGCCGGAACAAGGAGGGGCGGGCGAGGACGGAGAAGGAGATCCTTGAAATGCTGGATCACCCATTTCTGCCGACGCTCTACGCCGCCGTTGACTCGCCCAAGTGGTCGTGCCTCCTCACGGAGTTCTGCCCCGGCGGAGATCTCCACGTCCTCCGCCAGCGTCAGCCCTGCAAACGCTTCCCGGACTCCGCCGTCAGGTGCGCTATTCAATTTAGTACTTACCTTTTTTACCACCACACTCTGTTTGACAGTAAAAAAAACAAAATTACCGCTCCGCATTACTGTTTTCGTGGCGTTTGAATTTCTGCATTACCTCCAATTTATTAAATATAATAAATTGCATTTTGACCCAAAAAATAAAGGTATTTTAAAATTCAGTTCGTGCTCGACTTAATTGAAAATTATAAAAACAATTATTTGAAAGTAACAAGACATGTGAAAAGAAGTAATTTTTAATACTTCATGTAAATTTGGTCGGCGTAACTTAATTATTTAAATACAGAAAATAATTTTAGGGAAATGCTATGTCCCGCTACGGTATCATTCGGTCGAATATTTTAACCGGGATCATCTATTTTATAGTACTAACTACATGTGTATTCAACGGTTAAAACTCTCGATAAAATGGTACCGTAGTGAGACCGTGACATTACCCAATAATTTTATATTATTCTGTTTTATTTGATTAATTCTATTTCCTTATATACTCGATATTTGAGAGTTATTAACTTATTTAATTTAAACGCGTAAATAGTAGCGGTACGGTGGTGCATAGCTTTTGCATGCACCAATCTCTAGGAGATGAGTGCCTTAAATTATGCAAGTCAAATGAGGCATCATCCAGTCAATTTTGATAATTGTATTATCATAATAATTGAAAATGCTACCATTCGGTTACCGAACCATTTCCTATACGATGATTTAACGGTTACAATTTTTGACGAAATGGTTTCGTAACGGTATTTTATCATTTTCTTATAATAATATACTACGTCTCATTTTTTTTTCCTATTTTTGATATATATACGTCGCTTTAATATAATTTTTAAAATTTTTCCTATTTTCTTTATAAAAATAAAAAATAAAAAATATAAGAAAATTGAAAGTGAGATTAGAGAGTGAAGCGGGGCCCACAACCTGGCTATAGAGAGCTGTTGATTGTTGAACATCACTTGTGGGCCCCCCCGTCTGTTGGTACTCTCTGTCTGTCTTCACTGTGTTATCGTGTAGTGAGGAAAATAAAAAAACGGAAATACACTGTAGATAAAAAAAAAATAAAAAAATAAAAAATAAAAATAAAAATAAAAATTAACGCTGCTTCCCTTTTGTTTTTGATTGGATTGAGTGGTTAAAAGAATCTAAAAAAATATATTATATTTTCTGTAAATAATAAAAAATGAGTTTTATGTTGGGTAAAATTGGGTTGATATGACACGTCAAATTGAATATGACAAAAAACGTGATAACTCAATATGTATACATATTATTTTTTTCACATTTCATTTTAGACTATAAAAATTTATTGAATCCGAGTCTATTATCACTAAAAGCCAGTGATTAAAATACGACATGGCACCCAACCAGTAATTCTAGATACCGGCTATTAGTACGGTACAATTATAAAAAAAATACTGAATTTGCAGTTATACATATTTGTTCCAGGGTCATATCGCCGGTCTTTGTTAATCTGTAATACCATCGATATTCGGTAATACCGCATATCGATGGTTTGATCGGTATAACCATTTGTACGGTATTTAAAACATTTAAAACACTAACCAATAGATGTTCATTGTTACCCACGAGCGCTTGGATGAAATGACTTGGGTTTCTTCCAGCTTAACCAGTGGTCTCGTGTTCGAGCTCTGGGAATGCAGCAGTATTAAAACTCTTGAGGGAGAGCTTTGCCGCCCTTGTGGTCCTACCCGGCTCGATTCCGGATTAGTCGGTTCCCCTTTGAATCTGAAAACCGGAAGGTCCCTGTACCAAAAAAAAAACACTATCCAATAGGTGTCGACTCAAGTGGTAAGCAACTTGATGTCACTTAAGCAATGTCTCGAGTTCGAATCCTTGTTAATGCATAAAACCCTTGTTGGGAGACTCACCCACTACTGCCAAGTTTGCGATCCGAGTCGATCTACAGATTAGTCGAAGCATAATTCGGGACACCGTGACTAGCTACCTACCAAAAAAACATTTAAAACACTGCTAAAAGCTTCTTTGTTGGATTTACTTTAGCTGAGCAATTATGACAGACACGTGGTGGATGATTCAAAGCCTTCAGTACAAAATTAATTAATCATAACTATTATAATTATTAGTTACTCCCCTTGTTAAAATGGTAGTTGAGAAACAATATTGGGTAGGTACACCTCATTCAATATTCTAAAAAAGTTTTACTTTTTTAGAAGTCTTAAATTAATAAATTGTCCTTGGTATCATCTTTCTAGACATGGCCAGTCAATGAATTGGGCCGGCGGGTTTATCATAGGTGACCCTTGACCGGTCTGCCAAAAACCAAAGGCCAGGTCCATGAAACGGCCCGGTCCAGACTGCAGGGACAAAAACAAAAAAGACCCAGAAACGACCCGTAAAGCCACGGTGCCGATTCTCGAAACTGGCAATCTACGGGCCAGGCCGGGACCGATTGGGACCGGGACGATGGGCCATGTCTACATCTTTCCCCCTTTTATTAAGCAAATATGTTAAAAGAGTACTATATAGGTCCCTGTTAAGATTGGATATATGACAATCTTGCTAGCTAGTGAGGCAAATAAGATAGGGACAATGTGGTTACTATATAGGTCATCAAGGGGGAGTGTTTCTGTCTGTGTCTTTGAATTTTACGTATTCGTCTCCACTTGGCGGAGGTGTTGATGGAATATTTTTGTTGTATTCGGTTTGTCGTTATATTTCATAAGGTGGAGTTGCTTGAGTAAATTTGGCTGATCCTTTTAAAATTGTTCTGAACAATGATCCATAAAGTTTGTTGAACCCGTGATTTATAAGTTTGCGTTATCTAGTTGGTACCACTGTTTTAAAAATACCGTACCGGTGGTCATACCGGTCTAGCCATCGGTACGCGGTATTACCGGTCGGACCGGTAATATCAGTTGTATTACCGGATTAGCAAATATAATAATAAATATAAATATACATACAAATATTTAATACCAAATACACTAAAGTAAAAAAAATAAATGACCATAATCATTAATTTCAACTTTTTAATGAGATAAAAATAAAATATTTTAACTACCAATTTAAATTTTATTTTTTTTAAATTGATTTTTTTTTTATTTTTAATTAACCGGTATTTTGGACTGGTATTTTGCGGTTTTCACG